AGAGTCCCCCAGGGTGGAGCATAGCACCAACAGAACACAGAACATTCCTCTAGTTCTTTCATGTTTCCTCCCCCCAATATTATGACCACAGTTCCACCTTACAAATCCGGCTAGACTGGAACATGTAAAATGGTACAGGTAAGAGCTCTCGACACACGGAATCCAGGACAGATAAAGCCCTCAGGAACAGTAAAAGGAGTTGAAATATCATGAGGGTGGGGGTGAGGGGAGGGAGAAATGGGGAACGGTCTACAATGATCGACATATAACCCGCTACCCACCAGTCCCAGATAACCCATTGCATCAGTTATTGTCTCTCTCCATCCACTTCTTCTGGGCTTGATAAACTGGTAAATTTAATAGAAACAATAAAAAACAAACAGAATGAAATAGAAAGAAGAAAATAATAATAATATAAAGATAAAAATAAAGAGTAAGAAAGAAAAGGCAACTATTTAAGAAACCAAAGTAGAAATTTCTGTCATGTAAAGAGTGAGAAATATTTGAGCCTAGAGCAAATTCAGGTGGGGTCAAGAGGAAGGTCAACTGACCAAGTATCATATCCTACCATGGTTCAGTCCACCATAATCAAGTTTACAATATCTGTCTGATAGTAAAGCTGTTAAAGTCTCTCACCTGTGGCTAGTGAGGATATGCCAGAGGATTAATCTGACTACTGAGCAGATGGATTGGGGCCTCCCATGGTCCTCCATAGCTTTCAACAAATTGGGTATTCACAATTTAAGCTCTGATACTTTTTCCTTCATCATATTTGGATTTTGTTATCGTCATCTTTGGGTCATGCAGGCTGGTGTGTTTCTTCGATATGGACTTAGTTAATTCATCTATTTTAGTCTTATTAAGGTATCATTAAAAAAGGATTATTTTTGAAACATGGAAAACACTGATCTTGAAGTCAGGGCTAATATCAACTTTCAAAGAAAACTTAAAGGGATATTTTCTCAAATCACTGAAGCTTTGCAACAAGTTAACTGGAATGCAGCCTCACATAAACCGACATTTAGGTGCTCAAGCATTTTTAGAAAGACCAAGAAGATCTCAAAGATGTACCAAGAGAGGGAACACCAGTAAGCTCACTGAATGGAGCAATTGTGGCTAAAGCCCAGAAATTGGTGGAAGAAGACTATTGAATCCTCATTGATGTGATGAACTACTAAAGTTAGGATCACACATGGCTCAGCATTTTCAATTTTAAGCGCATATCTTGGCCTCAGAAAGCATACCGCTTGATGGGTGCCAAAATCATTGTGTGAAGTTCAGGGAGCTCAAAGAACCAAAAAGTCTATCCTTCTTTTAAGGAACATTACAGAGAATGTAGACAATTTGGCTATATTGTAACCAAGACAAAGTATTGAATTTAATAATACAATCCACAGAGCAAGATCCAAACAAAACAGCAGGTTCCCAGGGGATCTTCCCAGCCAAATCAAAGCAAAGGTGGGCTCAGAAAGTTAGAGAGTGTCTGTTTTGGGGGACTCCAACTGGAGTAATGTGGATAGATTTTCTCAAAGGACACAGTATGATTACATGGGGGTATTAGGAAGTTTTACGAAAATAGATATCTAGACAGACATTGGGCCTCTACTCAAGTCCTCCTTCAATGCAAAAACACTGTTCTAATAACCTGGCATTCCATGATGCTCACCTTCCTGACACGATCGCTGAAGACAAAATGGGTGCATAAGCAAATGTGGTGAAGAAAGCTGATGGTGCCTGGCTACCAAAAGATACAG